ATATAGAAGACCCTAACCCTAAATTAATCGAAAAAATTATTAAATATAAGTTGCCTCCGCTTTAGACGTCCCCCATAATTGGAACGTTCACCCCTGTTACCCCGGGTACACATGTTGGGAAAATACGGTACCATAAATTCTCGAAATATAATGCCCTCTGAAAATAGTATGACATAACAATTCTGCTTTTAAATTTCATAATAAATATTTACACATGATAATCGTCACGGTTATCACATACAGATAATTTTATTATCGTTATGTTAATCGTGAAAATTAATACAATAAAAACAAAAACTCGTACTGCAGAAACTTTATCAATTGAGAAGATTCACGATTAGAAAATTCGATTGGTTGTTTCAAAATAATGTTCATGGGCGCATCGAAACAACGCGCAGATACCTGTTATTTCGAGAATTTACGGTAAAAGGATTAGTATAATCGCAAACACTTTAGCCTCTTTATTAGTTTGTAAAAGTTATTTAAAGATGAAATTTGGGTAAGGTTGGTTACAACACTTAAATGTGCAAGGTAGAGGTACGTAAGAATCCTAACCCTTTCTTATTATAATTGACAAAATTACCGTAAGAACGTTTCTGGCATATCCCGTCACGACATGATTTTTAATAGCAACTACCTCCAATTTTATATAATTGTTGGATTCGGACTAATTAGACTTAAGGCTTGTAACCATATTGGCTACCTTTTTTTTACACTCTTATAAGGCTTCGTCAATATGCATTCCATATTATTTCTGCCCCCGATGTCCTTTCAGTCTATTTCAATTTATTTGCTTCCTAAACCATTTGAAATTCATCTTATTGAAACTAAAGCTAATTGGCTTCGTTTACATTTTGCTGATATTTATCAAAAAAGTTTTCAAAATAACCAACATCAAAATTTACAACAATGGTGTAATCATGACAATTAAAAAACAAGGCAACAAAAAATTAAAGAATAAGCAAAAACCGACGTGAAAACAAAAAGAAACCAAATTTCGAATTCAAACAAAATGTAAATACTGTATATTTTTTTTAATAAATTTATATTTGTTATAATAAAATGAATTTATTAATAAAAGATATTCTTATTTATATAAACACTTAATCAATAAACTTAGATTGGATAATTGGACTTTGTCAAGTAATTTTGCCATGAATACTTCACATTGCCGAGAACTTCTCATTGTCGAGGAATAAACATAACTCCATATGAAGCAGTTTTTGGATACCAATATAGATCTGCACTTAATCATTTGAATTAATAATTTAGATTGGATAATTGGACTTTGCCAAGTAGATATCCAAAATAATAACCAAAAATTTGCACAATATTCGGGCACGATTGAGAAGATATTGAAGCAACATCATAAGACGCAAAGGCATACTGCGCAGATAAATGCGGATCCTAATTTAAAATGGCGTAAACAAGCGAGATAGTTTAATAATAAAGACATGATGGATTAATATAAAGTTCGCGTTTTGTGATTCCAATCTTACAGTAAAAAAGTCTAATGCTAGCATTAGACTGATCATCTGTAAATCATCTATAGACCTACTATATTAATAAAGGATTTAACATTTTCATAGCGATAAGATAAACTAGACAAATTTCCTTTTTTTTAACACCACTTAAATGTTTTTATTTAAAATTTTGGTAAACGACAATTAATATTAAACCAGTTTTCGTAATAAGTAAATCGATAAAGTAAAGTTGTCAGTAATAAATTCTACGTAATTCCAAATTAAAATTAATTATAATTCATTATAAAATATATATATACCATGAATTTATCATTTTATAAATACAACATATAAAGTATATATTTTTGACTATTATTTCATTTGTCGAAGTTATAAAAAATTATTTTACAAATTGATTCAAAAAAGTAGGTACGTACGTACAGATTTCAAAATTTGACACATCCAGTCAGCCAAATGTATAAAGATAAATAAATATATTTATACAAAGGACAAGTATGGAAAATCAAAATTATAAATTTACATAATATGAACCACATTTGTTGAAAAGTTTGTACTTATGCGTAATGGTATTTATAAAATAAAGTCATTCATTAACATATTAGTTCGACAAAATAAGGATAAATGCAATATGGAAGATACAAAGCAATAACACTAAAACGTAAAACAATAGATAAATAACACTCAGCGCATTATAGTTTTACGTGTGATAACAATATTTCGACACCAAAATTTCCAAAATTAGTGTGTTATCACGACGATACTGTTATTATATATTCTAATATAGGAGCACCGACCTCTTTAATTTCTGGGATGGTACATTTGAGGTCAAAAGCCTTTGAAAGAACTATTTTGAAAATCTTTTGCACATTAATGGAATGGGATGTTGAACAAAATATCAAAGAGGCTTTCATAGCACGGGCAAAACGACGAGCCTGAAATTGAATTATAAAAGAAATAAATAAGAATTATAAATATAGATAAGTTAATCTATTAATAAATATAAATAAGTTAATATACTATTTGAGATGAATCACCTGTTTTGTAATCTCCTCCTGTTCTTCTTTGGGGAAGTTTGCAAACTGATCATATTTTGTTCCGATGAGAAAAGGAATGGCAGTCTGTTTGTATGAAATAATATAAATAATATAAATTTAATAGTAAGAAAACATAAATATTAATAGTAAGGATATAAAATTTAATAGTAAGAAAATGAAATAAATAAATAAATAAATAAATACAATCAGTCCTCCCTAAATGCAACCTCTCTAAATGCAATCTTTCTGAATGCAACCTCTCTAAATGCATGGCCTTGTTTGGTCCAACTCATATGATACTTATAAATTTTTTTACCTCCTTAAATGCAAGATTTTTCGATTATGCATTTAGGGAGGTCAAACTGTATATATATATTAATACACATATAAATAATTAAAAAGTGACTTACTTTATTAAATCCTCTAGCTTGTCTATACCATTCTTTAATACTATTCAATGTGGATTTTCTCGATAAATCAAACATGAAGAGTATCGCAACGGCGTCATTACATACCAAAGGAAGCATATTTACGAATTCACGTTGACCTAATTTAAAATAAGCATTGTGAATGGTAAATAAAAAAAAAAATAAAAGATTTTTTTTTTTACACCAGCGATTCATATTACATACCTCCGAGATCCCATATACTAAATGTGATCTCATGGTTTCTTATGGAAATTGTTTTTTCCATAAAGTTAACACCTTCAGAAATTAACCGAGGAATAATTCAAATAATTCAATAAAATGATTTTTTAAAAAGCCTAGTAATTTTTTAATTCAATTAACCTACCTAAAGTTTGAATATAATCTTCGTCAAAGGAGCCTTCCACATATTTGACCATTAAGCTTGTTTTGCCGATCTGAGAATCACCGACCATGCCAACCTTCACTACTACACTGTTTAAAGAATAAGTTCATAAACAACTAGATACATTTGATACACTCGATACATTCGATACATTCGATACATTCGATGCATTCGATACATTCGATACATTCGGTGCATTCGAGTTAAAGCTTTATTACAAGTGGCGTTACCACGAACCTGTTTTTTTTTGCCGCTTCCTCGCTGGACATAGTGACAGTAATATATTAACTGCATTTGTGAATTTGTGAATTCGAGAAAATGTAAGACATTATTAAAGACAATATTGAAGACGTTATTAAAGACATTAAGAGCAAGTACTTATGCAAGAAGCAAGACAGGTAAATTTTAGATTACCGTTACTAGTTTTTAATAACACGTGAAGGTGCAGGAACACGAATAAGCTTAAAATTTATTTCTTAAAATACTACGTGGTCTATATGACACTATTGCTTCGATAAGAAAATATCTTTAATTAAGGGTGTCGGGGTTTTGAGGAAAAAAAAAAAACCTTGGAACTTGGATTATAAGTAAATATGTAAAAAAATGCAAGTATAATTAGAACAAAGAAGTTGTACCATTGATCAATTTAAGGAGAATTTAAGTTTGTGCACATCCTACGGTTTATCGACTAGTGAGTGGTGTAAATGATGCAGCCCAATTTAAACAATATCCATATACTAGTTTCATCTAGATTTTGACCACCTTAGGCAAATGGGGCAAATGAGTAAAAGGGGTTTTAAAAGATTATGTAACACTTTAAGAACACTACTTTCGTCATTCTATTATCTCTACAATCAGGGGGAATATTAATGCAGGGAACTTATGATTCAAAGAAACATAACAATAATTGATAGTAAGTTTATACGTAATATAATTCTTGACATGAACTAGGTCATAAACAGAATTTAATAGAATCCATGTGATTAAACTTTATTATCATGCTTTATTTAGAAATTTCCAATTTTAAACAATTTTAAACAATTTTAAACAATTATTAAACAATTTTAAACAATCAGTATATACTTACAAAATTTTAAAGTGATAAAACTCAATTTTTTTTATATCACATCAAAATACCTAATACATTTTTATTTCATCCAACTCTAATTGAAATTATTCGCATTTTTCAATTATATGATTGATTTCTCCAAAACTTCAAGATAAGTTGTTTCTCTCTTCCTGCCAGTCGTGATGCTGAAATCTAAAATGTAAAATATACATATGTTCACTTAATATTTCATTAATTGTTATATTCAATAATTATTATCTTCATTAATTATTATATTCACTAGTTATTATATTCACTTCACTAGTTATTATATTCACTGTTATTGACACTAACCTTGGAATGAAATTGATAGTCATTCCACATTCTTTCACATATTTCGTCAGGTTTATTATCACTAATTACTAAGAGATAAAATACACCATTGCTTGATAACAAATCCTACAATGATATAATTAATTAATTTACATACAATCTCATACCAATCTTAATGATATTAACAAGAAAACTCACGTTAACCAAAGGTAACATTTTATCAATTACTTCTCTTCCATCAATTCCTCCAGCCCAAGCTCTTTCAATAAAATTTGATGACTTTACATCTTCAGAAGATGTGACGACATACGGTGGATTAAAGCATAAAATATCAACATTATGATATAATCTCGGTAAAAGACCCGATATTAGGTTGGTTGTTATAGCATCCAAATGAATCTACATTTTCATAAATAATTATTAGCATATATATAATTATTTTCCAAAGATACCAAATTGTGAATTACCAAATTATGAATAGCCGTTTTAACGGTAATTTCAGTAGCGTAAGGATTTATATCTGTACATAATAAAACTTTTGGAAATAAAGAACGAAACATTTTCATCCAAAAATTCGAAATATAAATTCTTAAATCAGTTCGAGTGATTATTCAAACGTACGTGCAGTTCCATCACCCAGCAATTGACCAAGGAACGTCGATACACACCCTGTACCTGAACTATTCTCGATAAATTTTTTGATAAATGTAGGATTGTTGATATATGTTGGATTGATTTTGATGATATAATCATGATGGTTGCTAAATAATATGTACCTACCCAATTTCTAAACAGATGCAAGGATTCACGTTGTTCTTGAGAAATTCGATATCCTTCTCAAGGGCATCAAGAAATAAAAAAGTGTCCTCTATTCAAAAATAATGTGAATTTTTTTTTTTATATTCAAATAATGTGAATAGTGAATATTTTTGTTATATTCAAATAAAGTGAATATTTTTTATATGTATTTTTTTTTATATGAAATATCTGGATAATTTTACTATGAAATCAATTGGATAACTGACCTGCTGGCTCATACACATTCTCGTAGTCATTCGAAGTTATGTGATCAAGGTTTGGTGTTGGAAACATCCTAAATTTGTAATAGGGTTATTAGTTGCATTATTAGCGTCATTTTGTCAATTATCATATGAACATGAAATGAATCGAAAATCAATTTAAAACTTTCAAAGTAACTAACGATAATTGTGCTAATTGTTGATTATCTACTTGAAATTTAGACAAATTTTTTTTTTCTCAAATGTGATAGCTGAATATGTACTAGTTATCTGTCATGTTGTGGATGATAACTGATTATTCACTAGGATATTTACTACGTATGAAAAAATCAGTGATAAAATTAGTTATTGATTATCAATCAGATATGACATTTTCCCGATACATACTCAGCATTTAAAGTTAGCGTGTTACGTAATAAATTATTAATTATTAATTATTAACAAGATAAAGCGTCGCACAAATCCAGTGAGTCTTTTGTTATCTGTAGGATGTCATCAATTAGTTCAATTATAAAATATAGAATAAATATAGAGTAAGGTATATATATATGTAGTATGATAATTTTTTGCAAGCTTAATAATATTAATAAGTTCCAAATTATTAAATTTATGTTGATAGAAAATATATACATATTTAATGAATTGCTTTTATCGTTACTTTTAAAGGAGTAGATATATCTATATAAGTTAAAACGAAAACTATAAAAAAAAATGCTTTATTTTTAAAATAGATTTACGTAGTGATATTGATTAGATTTTATACACTTTTATTATTACGTGAAAGAAATATTACTATGTCATAATTGGTTTGCATGTAATTGTACATATAATATTTATAATCGGCATCATAATTTAGTGGTAAATGATTGGCTTAGCGAAACAAAATTTGCAGGTCTTTAATAATTTTAGCGATTATCAATTCATCTAGACAATAAAAAATCCGAAAGTAAACATTAAAAATCAAAAAATAACCAAACCTTGTCTCAGAATCTATACTAAATTAATAATTTTTGTTAACAAATCAACGCCAAATATATAAAATTACCAAGTCTTGTTAAGTACTTCGTTTCCTGTATGAGTTCTACTAGAGCTCTACCAGAGCGCTGTAAGTTAAAGAGCAAGAGCACAGTCTATATAAAACGCGATCAATTTCGTGATACGAGAGGTAACCTATTTTAGCCATTTTTTCGCTATAAGTAGCCATCAAATAGAGGCAAAAAATCAAATTCAGTAAATTTGCGTTTCACGAGTCTTTCTAGGGTGTTAAAAATTATCAATTTACACGCATTATTGTTCAAACTCCACTGATTGAAAAAATTGTAAAAGTAAAAAACGCGCGTTTATATTCATGTTGCAAATTTCGTTTAATAAAGTATATATATAATTTTAATTTTAATTTAAAAAATTACTTATTGCTAAATATTACTAAATATTAATTGCAAAAAAAGAGAACTTGACCAAAAAAATTATTTAATACAGTAATTGCTTGCCTTTCTTTGTTATATTAATAATTATTAATCTTATAATCAGTATTAGTAATAAAATAAAACAATCTTATAATTATATGTGTATATACATATACTGTATCGATACCGTTCATTTCACAATCAATTTCGATTCACCGAAAATCAATTCACTGACAGTACGATTCGCCGACAGTACACTTCACCGACAAGTTTATTTCACCGACAGTACGTTTTATTGACAGTTTAATTTTTATAAGTAACCATTTTTAATGGTTAGGGTTAGGTGTGTGCTAGTATTGTCCTGTTTTATGTTGGGATTAGTAGTAAAAATAACTTGGATTTGACGAATTTTTCTTTTACAAACCGTACGTACTATCATGATTTCTACAAGTCTGTCCTAATTTGCGTTTCTGTATCGTATTACTTTACTACAGTACATACTCTGAAATAAGTATCTATTAATTGTCGGTGAAACGTACTGTTGGTGAATCGTACTGTCGGTGAACCGTGATGTCAGTGAAATGAGCTTGTCGGGGAAATAAATTTGGTGAATTGATTGTCGGTGGAATTCCAAATGTAGCCCAAGTTGATATGAAATTTAAAAGAACTTAAGTTGATTCTAAATTTGATACTATAATAATCGATAAATTTAATAGCGGCTTAAGTTGTTTTAAAATTCGATACTGCAATAAATGCTTAAGCGATTGATGCAACGATAGTTAAATAAATTACATACTTTTTTGTTTTTATTTCACTTTTTCATTCTTTGCAAACTCCCTACCTGATGACCGAATTTCAAGATTATCCATTTTTGCCTCATAATCATAATGTATTCGAAGAATTTCTTTCCAAATATCTTAGCAACCAATAGTCGACGTAAAACCATGAAGACTTTAATTTTTGTATTAAGGATTTACACGATCCAGCAGATACAATACAAAGATCGAAATTCACTCCCCTGCAAGATCCTGGAGAATGACACATATAAATTCAGATACTAATCCGGCATTATTAGAATTAATATAATTATAATTAATTTCTTCCATTGGGTTCTGATAAGTTTTCAAAATTAAATAGTAAAGTCGGCTCTGGATATTACGAACTCAAAATTTTGAAATTTTACGATAGTTCGGCATAAAAAGCGTAAAGGGTTCTTAGAAAACTTAGTAATTTTCTATAACGGATTGTTTTTTTCACCAGAATCTTAAGTTCGTTATGACTATAGCTCAAAAGCAACCCTCTTAACAAGTATAGTCACCTCCTATATAAGCACATATTCTTTATAAACACATTTTTAAAAATCCACTATATATTATTAAATATAATAAATTTAACCTCTATAATTAGCACACTTCTCTATAATCACCTTTTTTGTATCCCAAAGGTGTGACTATAGGGAGGTTTGACTGTACATAAATAATATTAAATGCAATTACGAAACGCGTATGACAAAAATCATTGTAAATATAAAAAAAATGAAAATATACTGTGAGAGTCCACTAATACCCAACTACCCAAGATATTATTACTTAATACCCTGACCTCTCACATGATAAAAAACGTAATTAGCTCATACGTAATTAAACCTTGATATAAAATGATATTAAATTAATTAGTAATCAAAATATTTTTTTTCCTTTCGAACATAATTGTACCAAAAAAAAAATAATAATAAATAAAGTAAAATAAAATAAAATGAAACATTCCTTTATAAAAGCTAGTGATTTTCATTCAACTTATGGTGATTCATCCAATACTCGTAAAAAATTTGAAAA